TATATATATGGCAATATGCTATTAGATTATAGCAACTCTAGTGTTCTTACCCACTATGACCACTTAACCATGATATATAAGTTCACTTTTTGAGTAGCCATGGAAGATGGTTTACACCTAACCAAGTTTAAGCATAAGCATGAGTGTCTATTTCATGTAAAAAAACATATTTTTGTGTTTTTTTACATGCAAAAAATACCTTGGTGTTTCATCTATGAAAAAGCACTCTATGAACATCGAATAGTCATGTATTGTTTTATCTATCAAACGATACGCACAAATTGGTTTCGTCGGTTTCTATCTTTTATACTGTTTATATGATTCCTCCTCTCTCTCTCTCTCTCTCTCTCTCTCTCTATATATATATATATATATTATATGTATGTGAATCTGTTTATAAGGGTTCTTTTTTAAAAAGAGATTTAAAAAGGTTTTACATATTCTCATATTATTTTGGAGCCGATTTCTAGCACTTTTAGGGACTCATCAACCAATCTAGCCTGGCAGGGCTAGCCTTTGATTGAGAGGGTGCATTGGAGTCTTGCATCGGCTAGTCACTTACCAACACACCTTCATATATATAAAAATCGATCTCCTCTTAAATTCTCAAAACTTCTTTTGCTTCTTGATCCCTGCAAGGGCGAAGAACCCATCATTGTCTCGGCTGTGAGATTAACTCGTTCCCCGTCCTAATGCAATACTTTTGCACGACACCTGGTTGCAAAAGTTTGTATAAAAAGAGATTCAAAAGAGTCATGCATATTCCCACATTGTACCACAGTCGACTTCTAATACTTTTAGGGACTCCTCACCTAATCTAGCTTAGCCTCTGTTTTAGAAGACACGTTGGAGTCTTAAGTCGACTAGTCAAAAGACCAACTCATCTCTCTATATAAAAATCCCTTTATCTCTATAAGAGTTATTCCAATGAATATTTAAAGTGTTGTATATGCATTGATATATGGTTCATTGTCATAATTCCACCAATCTCATATATATATATATATATATATATATATATATATAAATTTGTGATCA